AGATAGATAGATAGATATAGATAGATAGATAGATAGATAGATAGATAGATAGATAGATAGATAGATAGATAGATAGATAGATAGATAGATAGATAGATAGATAGATTTGTCTTGTTTATGTTTTTTTTTTTACTACAGCTGTAAAACAAATATCTCCTTTGAGAAACAACAAAGCTGAACTCTAATTAACCGATTCAAGATGGTCGCCGCAGCTAATCCACATTATACAACACATAACTTAGTTTTACAGACACGGAGTTCATGTTTGATGTGGTAGTAGCCGAGAGTCATCCTGGACACAAACCCTGAGCGTTGGGAGACTCGTGCACTCGTTAATATGTTTCTTGTCAAGAATCAACAAAAATAAATAAATATTAGTTTGTTTTCGGTGTTTCTGCTGGTTCAGGTATCAGAGAAAGACTGAAGAGATGCGGTGTTGTGATTTGACAGAGAAAATTAATTTTACCTCGGTTTTGGGAGCAGAAAGAGCTTTTGTGCGACACAAAGTGGAAGTGAGTTGTAAGAAGAGAGCTGTGTCAGTGTTTCCTTTCCCACAGCAGTCGAGCTGAAGAGCAAAAACACGACGTCACCCACGACACAAAGTGAGAGATTTAAATAAAACGTATTCCCCGCGTTCAAAACATCTGATCCGACATGAAAGGCATACCGTGGTGTGGAAAGCCTCCAGCACCTTGACCGCTGCGTCTTTATTGGGAGGCGTTGAGATGTCCACGGCCTTGATGTACGCCGCGTCGTAGAAGTTAATGAGTTCTTTGGAAATCTGTGGACGAACAAAAGGTTTAGAGCTGTCTGAAGCAGAGGGGGGAGACCTCCACCGTGCTGTGAGGGGTGTGCGTCAGTGCGTACAGTGTCTCTGTTCATGAAGCCCCAGATTGCTGCAGCCACCTCGCAGGCGAACAGGATCACCAAGAAGAAGAAGAACTGCAGGAGAAGAATCAGGACGTTCATCAGATACAGTATGTCTGGATGCTGAGTCAGCACTCACACCACTGTTTTCCTGTTTATCGTTTCTTCTGTATTTTCTGGCAACAAAACTACTCTTGAGCTACTACAACCATTCGTGTATCAAAACGTTTATTAGTTGTTGTCATCCCCATAGGCTGCGTTCAGACGGCCCCTCCTGGACCTCCTAGTAGGTTTACAGGTACGTTCTTATCACTGATAATATGCAGCGTCGCCCACGTCTAAAACTGGAAGTTTTTATTGTTAGCTTTATTTAACCATTTCCCTAAACCTAACCTTACACCTGACCCAGAGCACTGACCCTAAACTCAACCCCATGACCCTTGACTCTTAACCTAACCATGTGGCCATTTTATCAGCGATAAGAACGCACCTTTAAACCTACCAGGAGGTAGAGGAGGGACTGAACGCAGCCTATGGGGATGATAACAACTAATAATGGACGTTTAATGGCTGATAACATTCGAAGCGGGTGGTGGGACAGATGAGGGTGGAGGCAGGTGTGGGTGCTTCACCTATCCCACCCACATTTTGATGTTGTTGGTACCGGGAGTTGAACCGACGATCTTCCAATCACAGGCTTGCCTTCTCTAACCTCTGTGCCACCACGCCCCCTTTTTGGTAAGTGTAATTTTATTTATTTATTTGTTTGTTTGTTTAACCTTATTTACAAATACTGAACTTTCTCCATTGAGATACATGAATATCTTTTTAATTTCTTAACCAACATTGATTCCTGAATGTCCTGATGCTGCTCAATAATCCAGGTAGATAACTCTAACAGGTCAGGTCTTCTTCTTCTTCTTTGTTCAAACATTTTCTCTTTTGTCCGATAAAAGCCGAAACGTTTCAACAAAGAAGAATCCGTCCAGAGGACCAGACTCAAACTTGTTAGATTGTTTCCTGAAATCAGCTACAACATATTTGCTCCCTTTTTATTTTCTTGTGCTCATTTTAGCTTTTAGCTCTTGTCTTGCTGGTTTTAGCTTTTAGATGTAGTTTTGCTAACTTTGGCTTTAGCTATTGTTTTGCTACTTTTAACTTGCCTTCAGTTTGACTACATTAAGAGTTTAAGTGCGGCGCCTTGTATTGACTTGTGTTGTGAATCGGGGCTATAAATAAACTGAATTAAAACCGAAGTAAGGTTTTAGTTACAGGTTTGCTTTTTAGCTACAAGCTTCTGTTTTGCTTATCTTTGATTTTTGCTAATTTTTGTTGTATCTATCGTTTGCTCATTTTAACTATGACTACAGTTTTGCTACATTTAGATTTTTAGCTGCAGTTTTGCTAACTGTAGGTTTTAGCTACTGCTTTGCCACAACTAGCTTCTGGCTAAAGTTTTGCTCATTTTAGCTTCTTATGCTTGCACACTGCATTTGAACATAACTGGCATTTTCTCTGCTTTTTCTTTAATCCATTTCATCTAGCGGAAAGAGCCATTGAATAATAATAAATATTATAAACAATAAAAGGCATAAGTGATGTACTGACTGTTCCCAGCAGACACTGAGACTCCTGGATGGCGCCGTAACATCCGAGGAACCCGACAAGCATCATGACGGCTCCTACAGCTATCAGGATGTACACACCTGGGGACACAGAAAGAGGCCGTCAGGCGTGAAGTTCAGCACCACGAGGGAGCGCTGCATGTTTCACACTTTACTAACGTCCCCCTGCTTCCTCTCATGACATAACCCACATCCTGCAGGTCAGCAGCTCCCAGTTCCTGAGTCAAAGAGGTGGAAGAGACCGCAAACAGCTGGCAGCAGGACAAGGAAGTGCCTCTTGGACACAAAGAACTTCCCTGCCTGCACTGACCCCGCAGCAACCCCGCAGAAACACGAGGACCCTTATGAATGCACAGACACGCATCAGTGCACTCATGCTGGTGCAATTAGACGGATGTACAGAGCGCTGGCCCTGCGTGTTAGCTTCAACTCTGAAAGGTAAAACAGGATTCAACACAAAGTCAACAAGTAGAAAAGAAAACATTTCATTTCATTAAAGTGAGAGCTAATAAAATACTCAATATGTAGGACAATACTCAAGGTTCTTTATTGTCATTTGTGTCACATATGGTACATGAGGTGGAACTAAACTGTGTACTCAAGGTCCCAGTTGCACAGTTAGAATGATCATATAAGCTGGTATAACAGGAGGCTTGTGAAAAAGTTGACACGATGATCTGTCCGTCCTGTCTTTCTGCATGTTTCCCTGTGTTTTAATTCATGTAGATGTTGAGAGTGATAGCTTAAGCATAGCCTTTAATAATTTAATAGACTCATTTGGTTTTACCCAAAACATCCGCACATCTACTCATCTTATCATCACACTCTTGATTTAGTTCTGATCTATGGTGTAGAGATTAAGGACTTGGTAATAGTTCCTCAAAATCCTTTTCTGTTCGACCATTTTTTAATAATCTTTGAGTTTACATTAAATGACTACACAGTCACTGAGAGCAGATTTCATCTCAGCAGGTGCTTATCAGAAAATGCTGTAACCAAATTTAAACGATCTCTTCCATCAATGTTTTCCTCTATCTTGCAGAGAAATGGATCAGAGAACAGAGACTTAGATCATCTAGTTGATCATTTTACAACTTCAATGCAAACTTCATTTGATAAAATTGCTCCACTGAAAAACAAAGTAATCAATCAGAGGAAACTGGCTCCTTGGTTCAGTTCTGAGTTATGCACTTTAAAGCAAGCATCTAGAAACCAGGAGAGAAAATGGCGCTCTACTAATGTTGAAGAATTTTATTTAACTTGGAAAGATAGTCTGCTAACATATAAAAAAGCTCTCCGTAAAGCTAGAACTTTATATTACTCATCTTTAATAGAGGAGAATAAAAATAACCCTAGGTTTCTGTTAGTACTATTGCTAGACTAATTAAAAGTCCCATTTCTGTTGAACCATGTATCCGTACAACTATAAGTAGTGAGGACTTCCTGAGATTATTTATAAATAAAATTATTTCAATTAGAGAGAAAATTCAAACCATCCTTCCTTCTACTATCTCTAGTCCCCTGTCAAATGAAGCAACTTTAAAAATTTCATTAGAGCCTGATTTATGTTTGGACAGTTTTTGTCCTGTTGAGCTCTCTGAATTGTCAAAAATAATAATCTCATCCAAACCATCCACATGTCTGCTAGATCCCATCCCAACCAGACTGTTTAAAGAGGTATTTCTCCTAATTAATGTCCACATTTTGGATCTACTTAATTTGTCTTTAATGGATGGTTATGTACCACAGAGCTTTAAGGTTGCTGTAATAAAACCTTTACTTAAGAAGTCTGATCTTGATTCAGAAATTCTGGCCAACTATAGACCTATATCTAATCTAACTTTCATCTAAAAAATTCTAGAGAAAATAGTTGCAGGTCAGTTGCGTGAACATCTACAAAGAAATAATCTGTTGGAAGAGTTTCAGTCAGGGTTTAGAGCTCATCATAGGACAGAAACAGCATTAGTAAAAGTAACTAATAATATTCTCATGGCCTCAGACAATGGACTTGTGTCTATACTGGTCCTGTTAGACCTCAGTGCTGCATTTGATACAGTTGATCACAATATTTTACTACAGAGGCTTGAATATGATATTGGGATTACATGAACAGCTCTAAAATGGTTTAAATCATATCTATCTGATAGATTCCAGTTTGTAAATGTAAATAATAAATCTTCTTCATACACCAAAGTTAGTCATGGAGTTTCTCAAGGCTCAGTGCTTGGGCAAATACTCTTTACTTTATATATGCTTCCATTAGGTAAAGTTATTAAACAGCATGGGATAAATTGCCATGTTATGCTGATGACACACAATTATATTTGTCCATTAAACCCAATGAATCCAATCAGCTACTTAGACTACAAGCATGTCTTAAAGACATAAAAACCTGAATGACCCTTAATTTTCTCCTGTTGAACACAGACAAAACTGAGGTTTTGGTTTTTGGACCTGAGCACCTTAGGAATGAATTTTTCAGTCTTTCTCCCTCCTTAGATAACATTAATCTGTCCTCCAGCTCTAATGTTAAAAATCTCTGTGTTATTTTTGATCAGGACATGTCTTTTATCCCCCATATTAAAAACATTACTAGAACCAGCTTCTTCCACCTGCGTAATATCTCTAAAATTAAAAACATCTAAAAATGATGCAGAAAAGCTGGTTCATGCATTTGTCACGTCTAGACTGGACTATTGCAATGGTTTATTATCTGGGTGTCCAAATACTTCTTTAAAACGTCTTCAGTTGATCCAAAATGCTGCTGCCAGAGTCTTAACTAGAGTTACTGGGAGAGATCAAATCTCTCCGGTTTTAGCTTCTCTCCATTGGCTCCCTGTCAAATCTAGAATAGAATTCAAAATCTTACTTCTAACCTACAAAGCTCTCAACAACCTAGCTCCATCTTATATTACAGATCTTATTGTTCCATATTTTCCTAACAGAGCACTTCGCTCTCAGACTGCAGGTTTACTTGTGGTTCCTAGAATTTACAAAAACAGAATGGGAGGCAGATCTTTCAGTTATCAGGCTCCTCTCTTGTGGAACCAACTTCCAATCTCTGTCCATGAGGCTGACACATTATCCAGTTTTAAAACTAGGCTTAAGACTTTCCTTTTTGCTAAATCCTATAGTTAGTTTCGGCTTGGGTTTCCTGAGCTGTCCCTTGGTTATGCTGCTATAGGCTTAGACTGCTGGAGGCCAAACTGACCACACTTTTCACTCTGCTACTGTCTTTACTTACTCTGCTCAACCTGTTTTGTATTTGTAATTATTTTTTCTATCCTTAACATGTGTTTTTTTTTTGTCTTTCAGATACACCTGGTCCTACACCTGGACCTACCATTCTATGTTCGTCTGTCTCTCCTTCCTGTCCTCTCAACCAGCCGGTCAAAGCAGATGGCTGCTTGTCTTGAGCCTGGTTCTGCTGGAGGTTTCTTCCTTTTAAAAGGGAGTTTTTCTTTCCACTGTTGCCACTGTGCTTGCTCAGGATGGGAGACTGCAACGAAGCCAAGATTCATCTTGTCTGCTGGATTCCTTAGATAGAGAACTTTACTAATTGGCTTTTATGTGTGAATGTTTCTGTAAAGTGCCCTGAGACAACTTTGTTGTGATTTGGCGCTATATAAATAAACTGTATTGAATTGAATTGAATTATTTTTCTATCCCTTGTGTTTCTACTCCTATGCACACCTGTCCCTAATCTAATGACCCTAATCTAATCCCTGCAGGTGTTTCCCACTTCGTCTCATTAACGTCTTGTATTTATAGTCTGTCTTGTCACTCCTTCGGTATCTGGGCATTAACTAACTAACCTACCCTTCCACGGTGTCCACGGTCTGGTCTGCGCTTCGCTTTGTATACGTAAGTTTTGCTGCTCCTTCAGCACTTTAGTTTTTAATAAATCATTATTATTTTACCCTCAATTCCTCCTGCCTCTGTCTGCACTTAGAGCACCGTGTAAAAGTTTTAAACGCACACACAAATCCCCCAAAACTTTTGTAAATGTCATCGTTTGATTTATGCACATGCATAGATTATACCAGTTTCCTCACAGTTAGTACGGGTTGTTTCACAACAACATGTTTGGGTGGACACAATCTTTTATGATTGACTCAACCCATTATTTTACTATTGAGTCTCACTTTTACTGGGTTGGGTAAACTCATTGGAAAATTAATGTTTGAATAAGGGATGCAGGATATTATTGACATGGTATCGGTACAGGACGACATTAGCGATAAAGTGAAATATAGGACATCGGCCATTCCATCAAAATAACGCACCGATGTAAAAGCTGCTGTTTTTTAAATATATATTATATATCTATACAGTGTTACATCATTTTCAGTCCCTTTTTGGCATCTGCATTTGGTAGCAGCCAAACTGACAAAGATCATGCAGAATATTGTATTTTAATTCCACAGCAGATAAAGCTCTGTAGTCTCTGTGAGTAGGTCTAGGAAAAAAACTTTCAGTATTGGTATCAGTTATCAGCCAAATAAATTTTAAGATATCGGCATATTGGCCAAAAATCCAATATCGTGCATCTCTACTTTGAATCAACCAAAATGTTTTTCCAAGCTTAATCATATTTTCCTTTTTGATCCACTTACATTTGATCTGTGTTCATCATTTTTTCAAAAAGACTGACAAACGTAGTCACTAAAATATTATTTTTGTTTTTCTATGCTGTTGAGCTTTTTATTCAGCAGCGTATTATCATTAATCAAATCAATCTAACAACTAAAACTAAGGTCAAATGTGTTTGACGGAGCCAGTTAAAATTAAATCAGTTCTAAAATATCCTGTTGACCAACACAAGACAACAAATTAAAACAACACAACTGTGTCCTTGAATCAGCAACACAAAAGTGTGGGCTTTTAACTTTTGTTGTGTGTTTTCTTTATTTAATACAAATTTAATCCAAGAAACCAAATTTTTCTTTAATCCTAAACTTGGGCTTTCTGGAGATCTTTTAGCTTTTTTTTGTTTTGTTTTTAATTTGGCTGCTTTTTCACGCATGTTGAGCAGCGTGTGCCTGTAGGTGGATAAAAAGAAGACGAGGAAACAGTGTAGA